TGCTATTGCTATTGCTATTGCTATTGCTATAATGGTATCTTAACCTTGACTGTGTGGGAAGTTATAATTAACCAACTGCCATAAAGTAGAAGGAGGCAAAAGAAACTCTTGGCTGATTACAAGCTTGCTACAAGTGATTTATTTTGAGCAGTTATTAAAGGAAAGAATAAAACATCGCACTCAAGAACTGGGAAATATGAAGGTTTCTTTTTTCTTCTCTTTTTTTCTCTCTTCTGTGAAAGATTAAAATGGCATCAGCTTCTCTTCCAGTTTCAAATTACTTGGATTAACTAAATTTAAGGTGGACCAGAAATTTTGAAATAAGATTTGTATAATTAATTGCAATTTGGAACTGGATATTAAGGAAGAACAAAAGACTAAGATGGCTCCCATTGTGTTTCTCCATAGCAGTTGAAGTAGATAAACTTAAGGTGCATTAGAACTCTGAAACAAGAATTGTATAATTAACTATAACTTTGGAACTGGACATCATAGAAAACTGGGAATTAGAAGAACTACTTGAAATTATAAAAAATATGCATAAATAATTAAAATCAAGCCTAAATAGAATATTGAACCCAGGAAAGCAGAATAAAGAAGAATTCAAAGAAGAAGAAGGGGGGCAAGGCAATGAAGTGGGAGAAACAGAGGGAAATCAAAAGCAACAAAAAACACCATCAGTCTTGGCAGCAGTATAGGGAAAACAGTAAAAAGAAGAGGTGTCCCAAAGGGAATAAAAAGCAGACAAAAGTGGCTTTGAAGGTTTCTAGTGGTATAAGGAAAATTGAACTAGGAGATGATGCCCCAACAAAGAGAAATTTAAAATATGCTTGTGAGGGTGGCTGGGGGAAAAATGATGGGAATGGAGGTGTTAAAATAAAAATAAAGAAAAGAGAAAAGACAGGAACAGAGAAGTGGGACAAAAGACTTACTAGGAAAAAAATCAGACACCTAGATGTGGGAAAATATAAAGCAAGATGATAAGGGTTTTATTCCTAAATACGATAATAAAATGGAGTTGCTAACTGGTTGAACATCATAATGGAAAGATAACGAAAAAAGACCAAAATATATGGAATATGGATAAATATGAAACTGATATGGAGAGGTTGTAAAGCAGAGGTTTGTGNTAAAAGTGAGATATGTATATATGCTAGTAATTGATCTGTCAATTTTCAGATTCAAACTCCTTGTTGCATAAGACAGTCTATTTAAGGTTGGCTACTCCTATACAGTTTCAGCCAACAATAGAAAATTGCCTGCATACAAAGGGACATTACAGTACAATTTATATATCCAACCAACACACTTTTAACATCATTACAGTATATATTTATCCATCAGTACATTAAACAGGCTAAGACTCTAGGAGACATCACACATTCCTGTCTTATTCCTCCTTCAGAATAGATCAATTCACTGAAGTATTCCATTTATTCTCATGCATTATATATTTCCCCACATATGCTGCTCTTATCACTAACCTCCAACTCCATTTTGGCAAAAAATTCTATAATTCAAGTCTTTATTATACTTTTTCTCTAAGGCAACAATCATTCATCATATCTACCACTATTAGTACTATCTTTGCTTTCGTTTCATCGTACATGTATTTGTAGGTCTTTATATTTGGTGACTTTGTACAATTTTTTTTGTTCTAGTCTGCTTTCTTTACCTACTGCTAGCCAGACTTTTTTGTCTTTTTTATCAACAGTTGTTAAGTCTTGGGTCTTAATATGGCAGATGCTTGTCTGCTTGAATTCTAATGTCCCAGAGCACTTTAGCTTCTACATTTCCTATTAATTTGTATATTCTGTGGTTCTTGTTTGCAGGCAAATGGTATTTTCTGCAGATATTGCTTTCTGTTGCTGTCTTTCAGTTCTGACTTTGTATGCATTTGTTCTTAAGACTTAGTCTCATGCAGCTAGAAGAGCTCCTCTGTCTCTTTCTTCAGCTTATCTGCTCTTAACCATTGTGAGGTCTTGTTGTTATCTGCTATGCTTGTTATTGTTATTCTTGTTATTTTTTGATATATTGATATATTGAAAATATATTAAAATATATTTTGTTACGTTATATACTATTCTCTCTCTCTCTCACACACACACACACACACACACATACACACACACACACACACACACAGTGTTTTGTCAAAGTACCTGATGCCTAAATATGGGAGAGAGCATACTGCTTCCCTTTTGCCTTTCAGCCCCACTNGATTAGGCCTGTAAAGTGGAAAAAAACAAAAGGAGATTTCTTCCAACAATCGGTTCTCTGAACTGCTTAGAAAGTTACCAAACGGTTTTCCCAAATAGGTGCAAACTGGCTGAATCCCACCATTGGGTCCAGTGGTCTTCACATACACAAATAAGTGGGGAGGCAAGGGACAAGACATGCATGAAAAAGCTCTTCAGGGGGGAAAGGACCATTGCAATTTTTTTATGGCTAGCAGAACTGGCACTTCTAAGATTTGCTTCCCCTTTTTCTCATTTTTGCTACTTTCCACCATAGAAAGGGTGACTAAAAGGAAGGAAGCAAAGACTCCTTGGCTGCCAATTCTCTGATTCCATGGAATGATCATTGGATAAGAGAATTAACAGCAGAAAACCGATGGACTGTCTGCTGTCAGTTATTTGCCGCAGATGTGGCATTCCACCCTACTTCTCTTTTCCTCCTGCTTCTCATGCAGATCTCATCCCCTATTTTCCTTTGGCATCAAGACATAACAAGGACTACAAGTACAATCAGCATTCTCTGAAATCAGCATTTTTCCACAAGATCATCTCCTGAATGCTAGCACTTTGCTGCTGCCTCTCAATTGCAAGGATGAGTTAAGTGTCCCTGTCCCAACATTTATACACTTGTGATTTATAGCATCACCAAGCCATTGTGAGGGCCATACGAAACTGCTTTCATTACAGATATATCACCAAAGTGACTGCCATAGAAATTGCTTTTGTGGAAATGGTGAACATTAATATTTAAAAAGCACATGTACATACACTCTCATCCCCAGTACATGAATAAGTCTGAACCCACCACTGCTCTTTAGAAAGAGCTTCGGAAAGGAGTCTGAAAGATGTACCTGGAGACAGATATTCTCACCGGATATCCAGTTACTTAGCTCTTCTCGCTATCATTGATCTGAGACTCTTGGGAGGGTAGTGGAGACAGGATTGTGTTAGGACCCCCTCCCATTTTTCAACTTGGTCTCCAAGGAAAACTGTTCTTCAGCCTTCCTCTTTTGTTTGTGATCCCTTCCCCCATTTTCTGACTGTGTGAAGTTCCCAGCACTCACGGAAGCAGCGTCTGTAGGGCTGGAACACCACTCAAGAAAATGCAGCACTTGCGGATTCATTATTTAATGCTAAGATATCTTCCATCTACATACTTGCTAGAATCCAATTTGTAACTGATGAGCTGGGAAGCCCCACCTTTCTCTGACAGCATCATTATAGTGTTCAGTGGGGACGGGAGTAAGATCTTATTAAAGGGGTCCCTGCACTTCAGACTGGCCCAGAGTTGCAGCAGAGAAGAGCTGGAAGGAGCTAACTTGATATCCATTGGAAGTGTCTTCTGTGCATTCTGCCAGCACTGCTTGTACCACTGGTGTCTGTTCCTGCCCTCATCATTGCAACCCTTGGCCTTCTCCTCTGGCTTGCAGGGAATCCTGGAATTGCTCCTCAGGAGCCATGCTTTCCTCCAGCATGTCGTGCATAGCAAACTTCTTCACCTATGAAACCACCAAATCGGTGGTGGTAAAGAGCTGGACCGTCGGCGTGATCAACCGGGCTGTCCAGCTGCTCATCATTTCGTACTTCATTGGGTGAGGGAAGGCAGATGCAATTGGGGGTGACATCTCCTAAACTGGAGGGGGGAGGATGTAACTATCAGGTAGGAGTCTATCCCTCAGATATAACTTTTCAAAAAAGATGTCTTTATTGGAGAAAGTTTAATAGACGGGGTGGGAAGAATGTAATGGTGGAAAAATATCTAAATATCGATTGTGAAAATGTGAAAAACAAGGTATGGTAGGTTGCTTGACTGACCATGTGTAGTCCTCAGTGCAGCTTCAAGTGCATGGGGTCATAAGCATGGAGAAGATTAGAGAGAGGTAAGAATTTGCATCTTGATTATCTTTAAGCTTTCAGAAATCCACATTTCTGTGACTGCCAGGTGTGAAAAAGGAGTGTGTGGAAGGAAGCTCATGTCTCATGAGGTTGCTTGCCAATGTCTCCTCCTACAGGTAGGGACTTAGGTAACAAGCTGCAAATTGCTCCTTTCTGCAGTGATGAAGACTGGACATTCTTTTGAAGTAGAAGAATGGATTCAGACCCTTTTTATCTGAAAGATCTAGATTCCTCAGCTAGTAATCATCTAAGTGAAAGCTGCGCAAATCTGGGATTTCTGCCTATTGTTAATTTAGAGGCAATTATTTTGAGAAGTAAAAAAGGGCTGTCAGTATTTGTTTTCACTTTCCTGTGCAAATATTTTGTCTTTTTTGTTGTTGTTATGCATCATGTAGAGACAGTTAGAACTTTTGGACATTTGAAGGCAAAGGAATTAATGAAATGAAGTTATGAGTGAAAATGAGTGAACATTTTTGAACAATTATTTCACCATTACCTCAGATTTGAACCTCCCGGTTTGCTATCAAAAACGATAGCAACAGCCTTATAATCTGCCACAGACCAAGGCTTACTTTACCATGCTCCCATATATCAGTTTGTGGTGCTGCGATAACATTCATATCACTTTATGGCCAGATGTTACCAATAATTGTGTGAATCCATGCTGCGTGTGCTTTGTGGACTTTAGCAGAGAGGCAGACAACAGGGAAAGACATTGGTGGCAGTTTATCATTCCATATGGTAACCTGTGCCTATTCTGAATAAGGGAGAAGTTTTGAGGGGGAATGGAAGAAAAGTACAATTATTTCAATCACAGCTCAGTGATAAAATCCTTGCTTTGTATATGGGAGGGTTTTTTGTTCAAACTTGGGTATCTCTGATAAAAATGTTCCAGCTGTAAACAGTTTGAAAATGCTCTGCCTGAAAGTCTCAACCCAAACAGAGGAAAGAATATTGGGTAGATAAACAAGCAGACTGCCTCTGGTTTATGATAGTTTTTCAGTGCTTCATGGAAGACTATGTAGGCAGGAAGGAGCAAACATTCAGTAATTTTTTTTTTCTGATGGGATGATATTTTGCCTCAGTCTGAATGTATTGGAGGAATTCCCTAATCCTAAGGATACTTCCAGACTAAAGTCTTCTGGCTCAGTGCCAATGAAAAAGAATTGTGAAGCCATTCTTCCCCTCTCATTAATTCTTTTTTAAAAAATGTGAATGCTAAGGAAAATATGAAAGAAATGGTGGGAAAATATTGGCCACCAATAGAATTTTTTTTAAAGCAAGGAGGCACAATGGTATTATTTAAAGCCTTAGCTATAAACACCTCTGGAGGATTCTTTGAAATAATATTGGAGTATTGTAGCGTTCCATAGAAAATGTTACTTATGATTATGTGTGAGGGAGAAAAAGGCATATGGGATTACTGTATGAGATGAGAATTGTGTTGGAAGTCATGTTAGGAAATTGGAAGTTATTTAACCCATTTTAAGATAACATAAGCAGAAGGGTCATGAGGAAAGGAAGCTATTAATGTGATTATCAGCTACGGGGACATGAGTGATGAGGAAACTGATGAAAGTCTGTAACTAACCAGAAGAGGAAGCAGTGGTTACAAAGCCACTTCTACTAAGACATTGTGTTAACATAGTTGCTGGAAGATTCCAGTTAAGTGTGCTGGAATAGTTACGACAGCTGTGGTGGTGCAGTGGTTAAAATTCAATATTGGAGGTTGACTCTGCTCACTGCCAGGAGTCCGACCTTAACCAACTCAAGGTTGATCAGCCTTCCATCCTTCCAATGTCGGTAAAATGAAGACCCAGATTATTGGGGGGAACTCTGTAAACAGCTCAGATAGTGCTGCAAAGCACTATGGAGCAGTATATAAGTCTAAGTTCTATTGCTATTGCTATTATTATTGTGAATAGGATAACATCATATTGAATCTATCTCACAGCAGGGATGGGCAAATTACTGGCTTACTGTATCTACTCAGGCTTTTACTAAGTTCTAAAATCCACTAGCTGGCTTCCAAGACAAAAATTACATGCTTGGTTGGATCAATTCTGTGTCTCAGTATTTATTGTGAGCACCACAATTGAACAAAGCTCAGAATCTTTCTTCACACACACACACACAAACACACACACACAAACACTCACACACAAATTCCCTTGTACTTTGAATTTTCTGCACGCTCAATATATTAGAGTGAGTTTCTATGTGTGCTATTTTGTTGTTGCTTTTTATTTTTTAAAGGGGAATCTGAAACACTTGATATTCTATGGTAAATCATTCAGATGGGTATCTGAATTTCTGCTATGGATCAATTGAGACATCCTTTAGTCTTTCCTAGTAAAGTCTGTTTAGAATCTGAAAGTTAACAAAAGAATGTTTCATTACGTCTACAAATAGATTATAGATGGTAACTCTGCCTGCAGCTGCTGAATACCAGGATGAAGAAAACTCCTAAGGCAATGCATTGTAGGTAATGTAGTCATCTAAAATATGAATATATGTGAGTTCAAGTTCGTGTAGAGGGCTTGAACCACATAGAATAATATTCAGGGTTCAGATGCTACTTGCATCTGAAAAGTCCCAGTAAAAATGAAACTAGTAATGTGGTACCTCCTGGTGGTCCATGTAACTCTTCTGTAAAAAATATATATATATCTTATTGTTGTAGATATTTTCTGGAGTATTTGGAACACATAAGTCATCAGAGTTTGGAAAAGGTGATATATTACAACACCTCTTCCAACAATAAGAAGGATATATATGAGAGGGAGACCCTCCCTTCACTTACAATGGTACAATTTTACTCAGACTATAACAATGTGCTCCACGGGTTGTATCATCACTGAATATGGAACAAAACATCTTTAAATGATCATTAGGTTGCCTGTTTTAAAATAATACTCTCCCTCACCCTACAAGCCAACACTATACTCCATCACAGTTTCGAGGTCATCCCTTATTTTGGAGGTGAGGTTAATCAACATTTGCAATGTGGTTGCAGATAAATTTTGGGAATGTCAGGAGTTGAGGCTATATCCTCTCTACCCTGGCCACTTAGTCAAATTCCATCACAACTCCTTCTTTCCTAATGTTCCCCCATTCGATTCCCACTTTATTTTCTGAGTTCCATTAACATCCATTATCTTCTCTCTCCAGTACACTTGAAACCAAGTTCCCTCCAGGCTTTTATTTTTTTATTTTTTTATAAAAAAAATATTTTTAATTTTCAAAACAAACACAATATATAAAATCTTCCTTTTTTACATATTGTAGAAAGTGTATCAGTTGGTTACAAAANCCACTTGGAGCTGAACCCAGGAGGACATTTCTTTCAACAGTGGAATAGCATCACGTTCGGGGAGGGGGGGCACTTATATTTTTGGATCACGTGAAATATGTCATTCTTTTAAGGTGCTCAACACACACACCCTTCTTGTCACATTTGTTTTACCAGTATTCAAACTTTGTTGTGTGGGGGAATCAAACTTGGATGTTGATGTATCCTGTAATTTTTGTATAAATTCAAAGGGTGGGCATGTACAAAAGCCATCAAATTATGAAAATAGAGCCTGCCTAATGTCATTTTAATTTTGTGCCCCACATTGCTATTGCCTGTTATCCTTCAAGTACCCGTCTGCAGTGAATGCAGAATGCACTGAGACTTGCACAGTCCTGCTATTGCTCTTATAAGTGTCTTGATCCTTGCTTTGCAATTCTGAAAATAGAGATCTTTTCCTACTTAGGGTTGAAGGTGAACACAATGTCCAGAATGTCTGCATGTAAACTGAGTCTGTAAAAGTAGGGAACCTAATTACCCAAATGTGAGTGGAATGAAAATAGAACCTGGGCTGTTTAAAGCTCAGAACAAACTGGGTCTGTTGGCAGCAAGAGAATCAGAAGAGAGACAGAGAGATTGCCAATAGCTCTCTCACCCATTTCTCTTGCTAACCCATAGATGGCACCAGAAGTAAGAAGACAAAAAGCATGTCCTTCAACACCAGTTCTGTCAGCAGAAGAGAGAACCAGAGAAGTGGGTTTTCTGTTGTCGGTGATAATAATGTGGAATTAAAGAACACGCAGTGAAGAGTTGGTAGGAGAAGCAGGAGAACTTGGCTTTTTAGTACTGGTTCTCATAGAATCAAAAAGAGCCACTACCAGCAAAGAGAAATAATTGCCTTTCCAGTGGCAATGCAAAGGGAGATGGATTCAGTTCTTCAGTCAGTACTCCATAGTCAAGACAGTGCCCAGAGGGGAGTCGACAGGAAGTTCTCCAGCTGGGGGATGTAGGCTCTTAAGAGTCTCACATGAACCCTGTGTGACAAACCATCTCCGAGATGGAACTGGTATTGATGGACTCTTCTGAATCAGAACCCCCACTGGAGGTGGGGGCGAAGAAGGGCAGTGTCTCATCAGACTGGGGGAAGCAACAGATCCCTTGTGGGTTAGAGATTTGCCTATGAATTGGAGTCGGGGTGGCAGCCTTCAACATGGCTGACAAGGTGCTGACTTTTTGTCAAAATAATTTTGGAGCAGGAGGGAAATGGAAGAGATGAAAGGCCGGGTACGGAAATTTATTTAACCCACAACTATAAACCTGGAAAAGGCAAAGAAATTTTGAGAACATAAATAATATTGATGGTCAGATTGGGACTTTCTTTCTCCAAAAGAAAAGGAAGAAAGG